GATATAGATTATAGTATGTTAACACAATATAATGATTAATAGAGAACAAAAAAAGGCTAAAGTATTACTATAATTACCGAAAACGAATTATGTACTAAATCCAGATAAACCAATGACTGAAATTTCCTCTATACTTATAGACATTTCTCCGTTCGGCTATTATCAAATGTTTACATTTGCTAATATTGGGTCAGTCCTAGACAATACTGTTTCTTTTAAAAATCTTATAAACAAGACGCGTAGTAACAAGTGAATCGGTACAAAGCGTATCAACGTTTACAAGAAAGGACGGTCGAATGTAATGGCGTATTTTAAAAACATTACAATATTAAAAGGTTTGTTATAACCGCGCTTGATTGTGAAGAGAGCATGCATTGAATAACAACGCAAGAAAGCACGTACTGCGAGTAACGATTTGCTTTGTTCCTTGACTTGACTGTAAGTAAGAATGTTCTTGTAAATTCAAAGCAAAGAAAATAAACAAAAATTAGCAAGTATTTTGAACGTAATAATGCTGGAAGCATGTTTATGTAATTTGATACTTTCCCCACACCCCCTCAGGCGCTAAATTTTTGATGAGGCACGTGACCAGCCGCAGCCAGGGTCTTTCCCAAAGAAAGATCCTGGGTACGAGGTTGGCTCAAGATACGATGAGAAATTGGTCTAGAAAGAGGTAATTTTGCTGTTTTTTTTAATTGCCGCCATATTAACAACCTTTGCAAGGGCAATGAATGTTTTTTGTCGAAAACCGAGGAACGATAGCTTTCATAGTTAATTTCTTGCAATATTTGCGAACTGTATGGCTAGAATAATCTTGTAAAGATTGAAACAAAAGCATAATTACTGAAGAGGTAGCTTTTAGAAGGAAATTTATATGTTTCTCCTATGTAACTGCTATTATATTTCCCTTAGAAATTCGTTCAAAATAGTTCAAAATGCAGTATATATTAGGTAGATATACAGGATCTATCAAAAACAGATAGTTCAAATTTAATAGCGTGCTCTTGTGCACTCCACATGACCACATTAAATGCAAAGTAATGGTAAATGCAAAATAACTAGACATTAAAAGAAAAGGGCTTCAGCTTTGAGTAGCATCTTTCAATGCAAAAATGACCAAATATAAGACGATTAAAAATTGCCGGGAAAATCACATTTTTTCTCCTCTCACGCATGTGCATTGCGTCTTAATAATCGATAAATAGAGTTTACATTATTATATAATTACATGCAAAGCACAAAGTTTGAGGAACAAAGCACAAATTTTAATACGGAAAATACCTTGATATGAATCAAGCAACGAAAAACAAAGCACCTACCGATTTAACGAAGCAAATATTCCAGTTTTAAAAAGAGGTATTGTTATAATTATAGACTATGATAAAATATTTACCCGACAAGAACATTAAGGCGTAAGACTTGTTCCAAATTATTATACCTTAGACTATACGTTCACACTCCACCGGAGCGAAATAACTACGCCCTTATACGTGCAGTTTTTTTACAAATTAAATTAGCACTCATGTAAACCCCAAATATTTCAAATAGAGCAAACGCCAAATTAACGCCATATTAACGCCATATAGATAACGCCATATCAACAACCTTTGCAACGGCAATTGCAACCTTTGCAACGGTTTTTTGTCGAAAACCGAGCGAACGATAGCTTTCATAGTTAATTTCTTGCAACATTTGCGAACAGTATGGCTAGAATAGTCTTGCAATAGATTGAAACAAAAGCATATTACTGAAGAGGTAGCTTTTGGAAGGAAATTTATGTTTCTCCGATGTAACTGCTATTATATATTTCCCTTAGAAATTCGTTCAAAATATTTCTAAGTGAATGTGGTGACTGCGCATGCTTGTCCATTATTTATCGCCATGGTCTAAATTTGCAGTTCTAAAACATGCTGTGGTATTCAAAGTGCTTCGTAGAACTCCGGATTTACTGTTCACAATAATCAAAATGTTATTTAAGCAATCTCCCTCTGAACCATTACTGCATGATTGTTCATAAACTCTGTTGAGGTTCAAAACCGATCACGTGCTCCCTAAAGAATTTATCACATAAAATCAATCCCCGCGTACAAATCTCAAGCCGAAGGGAACGATTTACTACTTTCGTGGTTTCGATAGTAACTTAGTCTGCGACTGCATGCACGCAGGCTCAGTGGCGTAGCTAGCGGCCATGCTGGTCATGCTGAGCATGACCAAAAATTTCCCCAAAAATAAAGAATTTCTTTCCGCTAAAATTCCAATTCAAATCTTTTAGCTTTTTGAAACTTTCACAAGTACTTTAGACAAGATTTCGCTATATTATGTCATTTTCGGCAAAATATTGCTCATTTGCATAGGTTACCTAGCAACAAACATGACGAGTTCGTGTGAATTTCGTGTGTACAGCATGTTCCACGCATTTCGCGGTCTAGTCATGCCCTCTGAAATCAGCATGACCAAGTAATATATTTTATAGTAGAAATACTGGCAATCTGATTGGATAATGGCAACTGCGCATGCTCAAACGCGCTGTTTTGCAACATCTAGTCATGCTCATTTTCCAGAGCATGACTTGAGCCTTTGTTCTTTGATACAGTCTTTCTGTTCGAGATAATTCACGCTCGAATTAGTCGAATACTCCGTTCAGGTGTCAACTGAGCAAGGTAAGTGATTTCGCATTGTATTAATTTGCATTTTAATGATTCAGGAAGCGTGACGGCTTCCACAGAGGCAGATATTATACTTGATATGCTGAAGAAACCTTTCTCTGCTCGTCAATCAGGCAAGCAAAATAGACAACGGCCAATGCCGAATTTACAATCGACCACTGGAAAGAGAAGCTCTCAAGAGAGTTGATACACAAAGAAAGATTGGCTTTGAGGTAGTTTTACTTGTTTAACCAAGAAGGAAATGTTTTGCTGGCCATGCTATGTACTTATCAATGTTAACTGTTAAGCCCCAAAATTGGGGGTCGGGCATATGTGGGTACTGGGGCATTTGATTTTTTGAGCAAATTTTCAATCAAATACCCCACCGTCAGGCAATAAATATTGGTCAAATACCCCCACCATTTTGCAATAAATTGCAATAAATACTATATTAATAAAAGTCATTTGGTTCAAATTGCCCTAACTCAGATGCCCACCAAGGGGTTATGACCGACAGGTGACATTCCTTAAAGAGAGGCGACAGATTATGTACACAAGAGTGACAAACGACAGCTTCTGACTGGGAATTTTAAGCGAGAAATTGTGATTTGTGTTATGGGTCAAAAGTGACACCGACATTTATTGCAATAAAACAAGCGACAAAGCAGCTACAAAATGAGTGACAAGCAACCTGGGTTACACCCTTGATGGGCCTCAACTCAGGGCCAAAATGCTAATCAAAATCCCCAGGGTGGGGATGCAATTGATTATAAAATACCCCACATATGCCCGACCCCCCTCGGGGGCTTAACATTGATAGGTACATTATTATAGTCCCTTGAAATTATATCAGGGAATATTAGATTTATAGGGGGAAATGTCTACATGAAAGTGGTGACCTCGAAATAAAATTTAATATTTCTTTTACCATAATTACCAATACCAGAGTTATACGCCTGTATTCTAAAAGCTCACTCACACTCAATGAGTGGAGGTTCACTCTGAGCTTACCTTGAGTGTGAATGTTGTTTTTGAATAGGTGGAGGGTGAGTAGTCACATAGTGAGGTTCGACACTAACTCCCCAGTTTTGCCAAAACAGCAATGACACTAAAGAGAAGCTCGGATCGAACCTCCACACATTGAGTGTGAGTGAGCTCTTAGCTAGAATACAGGCAATAGGGGAAATATCCACTCGAATGTGGTGACTCATGATATGACTATTCCTGGGGAGATAACCACTTGAATTAAATGTGGTGACCCCAAAATATAATTTCATATCTTGCTTTTGCTATAAGGTCTATTAATTTTTTTAATAAAATGACCAGAGCTATAAGAGAAATATCCACTCAATGTGGTGAGCCCATGATACAACTCTTCCTGGGGAGATATTAAACCACTTGAATGTGGTGACCCCAAAATTTTTTATTTTTTATTAGATGACCAGAGTTATATGGGAAATATCCACTCAAATGTGGTAGCTCATGATATAACTTTTCCTGAGGAGATAACCACTTGACTTGAATATGTGGTCACCCTGAAATTTAATTTCATATCTTGCTTAGATTGCTATGAGGTCTAATATTTTTTTTTATTAGATGACCAGAGTTATAAGGGAAATATCCAATCAAATGTGGTGAGGCCATGAAATAACTTTTCCTGGGGATATAACCACTTGAATGTGGTAACTCCAAAATATAATTTCATATATTTCTTTTACTATAAGTTTTATTTTTTTATTAGATGACCAGAGTTATATGGGAAATATCCACTCAAATGTGGTGGCTCATGATGAGTGATAACATGTGGTGACACATAATTTCCATGTTATTCTTTTACTATTTCTATATTAATTAGACTTGCACAGAAAATTGCACCAGTCTTCACCTCACCGGTACAAAAAGTTTGTCTCGCATTTACATATTAGTCCATGGATTATTGTATGCTTTTATGTACTTCTTTTTCGTTGGAAATGATGATTGTCGTTCTAGTGCAGCATCACAACTTTTTTATTATTGTTTGCAGTTGGCACCCAATCTGAGCCTGCGAGTGAATTTATAAAAAAAGTTGTAATGCAATTAGTAATGCTGTTCATGCTGAAATAAAATAATTATTACAAATTGTTTTTATTGTGTGTTCCTGAAGCTGTTTTGCATTTTGTATGGAGTTTATTAATTAAATGAATTTCCATACGTTTCACCGCACAGAACGCAGGAAATTAAGTTCGAGTGACGCTAAATTGCGCAAATGTTTTGTATAAATATGAATAGATAAATGTCTGAAAAGGCCGTTTCCGACGATCTAGAAGCCCTAATTTTTAATAGAATATTAGAATGTGGATATTTTCTGCATCTTACCTTCAACACAACCACGAAACTCAGCTCTCATGGAGATGTGCAATTTCCAAGACTTTGGTTGGATTCTGATGAATCTTGCAACAAGAACGGGTGAAAGTTCGTGACGCACAACACTATTTCTGTCAGTATTGCCTGAAAATACCTGGTTTCAAAGAGATACATCATTTTAGTCATGAAGTACCTGTCGGTTATATAAAGCTCATCAAGAAAATGCCCCCGAAATTGTTGAATACAAATGAAAAAATAGCATGAACTTGAGGCTGATAATGTGATTGTAAAGCAAGGTGATAATTCATCCCACTCAGGAAGGTGAATTTTCTGTCTTCATATGACTGTTTTTACCCCATCAAATATTTCGCCTTGGTTGGGCTCATTCTGTAAACATATGGCTTCTATATCCTTTTTTCAATTATAAAAAACTGCACCTGCATGTCTGTTTAGGTCTATTAATATTTACTCTTTTGTTTGTATTTTCCAACTGTACCGCTCAATACAATATTAAAGTCTTCATATGGAAAATTTTATCTCACTTGAATGAGATCCCACCTAGCCCAAGGTGACAACATTTCATTTAACCAGGATGGCTCATTTCTCATACAAACACAAATTAGATTTTGTTGAACTCATTCTCTAATATTTATCCTTATATAAATGTTTACATGAAAAATACCAGTATCAACTCTGTAAAAACAAGGAGGAATTTCGACCCTTACCAATCAATGCATTTGTTGACATTTTTGCTCTAAGCCAATCAGAATGCGTAATTGGTTACTACTTCCGATAAAAAACATACATTTGAACAGAAAATTTAGGGTCTGAAATGAACCTTCGAGGGGGTCAGGATTTTTAATTTTTTTATTAGATTTAACGTGACAAGGTAAAATAAGAAATTTTCTAAAAATAGGCGGCTCTGATTTGCATTTTATTGCCTAGTTCTAAAGTTATCGGCATTCGAACAGCGGCGTATAAAAAGCCCGAAAGTTCGAAACGTGTTGTTGAACAATGAAAAAATTTGTCGTAAAATTAGTGAAGATAAGATTGTAGTTTGTGAGAAAACTGCGGGTCTACGGTGCGGCAAGTTTTCAGAATTGAACTCAGGGTGTTCGAAAGTGTTAGTTCCCATAAAAATATTTCACTTCCAAGATATGCTTAATGAAAATTGTTTTCTAGGCACTTTTCGAGGACATAGCAAACGGCCTAGTACTACACTTGCACCCCATAATGCAACCTGGTTCTACAGAATGTCTAATATTAAGAAGGCAATCCAAATTTAGCATGCCATTGTGCGTTAATTGCCCGGTGTATGAACGTATTTTATCATAATCATAAAGACCAGGCTTTCGGCTGTTGAATGATACGTTTTCAGCCATTATAGAGAACAATTGAGCAAATATAAGAATTAATAAGCAATTATTGTTGTTTGACGAAGTGCATATTTTTCCCCGAATTGCACATATTGAAAATTAACTTCCTTTAGGACTTAAGTTCATAAATTTCACGTCAATAAAATAACAACTTGTAAACCTGCTGTGAGGTCATTGTTAAAATGGCACATTCGTGATTAATGAAAAAAACTACCTCTGTCTGTTTAGATCTACTAATACTTACTTTTTTGTTTGTATTTCCCTAGTATGTCGCTCAATAAAATATTATATGTGAAAATCGGCAAAAATGTTCATCCCGGTTTGGTGGAATAAAGGTCATAAAGCCTTCATATGGTGACCAGGATGGATCATTTCTTATACAAACACAAATTGGATTTGGTTGAACTCATTCTCTAATATTTATTTCAATTTCAAAAACTCATCAAAGATACTAGGCTTCGTGTTTTTATCACACCTAAAGATACTCGCTTTATAAAACACTGTTGCTCATGTTTTAAATAATACATAAAGGTTCACATGAAAAATACCAGTATCACGTCTGTAATGTTTTATGCACGAGGTATAAACTTCCACCCCATGATGCAACTTGGTTCGATAATCACAATGACGTAATTTTATAATATGAATATTGAAATCATTTCTTCTGACAGATTTCATTTCGTTAACCATGTGATTCGAATCCGGGGCCGCAGGTTCAATTCCTGCCATAGGGCCTATATAGTTGCATTTTTGGCAACTGCTCCTGGTTAGGTGTAATAAATGTATAAAATTTACACTCGAAATTTCCATCTGCAAAACATTTCTGCAATTAGTTCTATCGAGTGGGATGCCCAAAATGGTATTCTAACTATTTTCCTACAACTTGCCCAAGTGTGGGACTGAAAAATATATGATATATAGTTACCTTATCTTGCCCCTTATACACTTTGTACGTTTCAAAATTCATGCCATCGTCAGAATAAGCAATAGTATAACTTCTAACCCATTGATCTTTAGACGTTTGTGGGCGGCCTTGTGTGAGAATCTCTGTAACTGTTGCTTTATATTTGAAATCAATTTGCAGCCACTGGTTGGTGTCTAATGGCCGAGAAATCCAGCATTTATTCCAATGTAATCTGCCGAAACGTGGACCCCAGTATGTATGCCATTCACTCGAGGCTGTGATTCTTGAATCTGGGATCTTTCCACTCTGCATTCCTAACGCTTTAGGGTCTTTGCAAGCTGGAACGGAAAAATAACTTGAAATAAATGGTACGTTTCTTGTGTGACTGCAAGGTCGGACGAAGTCGTTTTTATGTGACAAAAAATTTACATACCATTTACCAAATAATGCATTTTTTTACGAAAATGGAGACATTACAATATCCTAAACTATACACTTTCACGCACCGTACGACCGCCTAGCGTTTGTTTGGCGCATGCGTGATAATGTGGAAATTATATACATATTTTTCTTGCCAATTATCAGTTCCAACGGATGCATTTCGGCATAATGTTCTTCAATAATTCGTACTGAGTGTTGTGTAAAACTTTGAAATTATCTTAATAAAAATTCAGAAAATTTACTATTTCACCCGCACCCCGATAATATAGCTATATGCCTGCACTTAAATACTTGTCTAGCCTGTGTCCAGTGGCCTGTGTCACAGATCTTACAATTAGTAAGGTCTATGAACATTGGCGCGATTGCTTGTTCCGGTTTCGTCAAGTAAAAGATTAATTTACATTAACCGTTACAAATCATTCAAAATCACAATCAAATATTTCGACTGCATGCTAGGATTTATAAAATGAGTAATATACCAAAATATGTTCAAGATGCCTAAAATTTCTATTGCGTGACCGTATTTATTATGTTAAATTTGGATAAATTTAATCCCAAAAACTGAGGATTTAATTTATGCATGGCACAAGCAATCGCTCCATACAGTATGTTCACAGACCTTACTAACATTAAGATCTGTAATACAGGCTAGACAAGTATTTAAGCGCAGGCATAGTGATTTACATAGTGTGTCAAGATATAATGGTCTGGAACCCCTTTGTTTGATGTTGAACTGTACCTCACTGTCGTGTGCACAAATCCTTTGTCTATTTTACCCCCGAGCCAACGGCGAGGAGCGCCGTTCCGGGGGTGAGCCCGGGACGAGGGTATTAATTCCGTGCGTGTTTCGGTGGGTGGTCATTTCACTGATCTCAAAATATGGCTGTCTAACAGGAGTGAAGAAGGCAAAAATATACTGAAAAATACATGTAAGAAAGCTTGGAAAATGATTTCACATAACAAATTCATTGAACAACTCTCTTGCAATTTTTAAACGTAAACATTTATTAGAATTTATATTGTATAAGAAATCCTAAAGTATAGGGCAAGTTTGTTTCAATTGTTTATGTATGACTTTGTATTTAAAATATAGACTTTGTTCTTTATGTTCAAGTCTTTCCTATGTATTGTTTGCGAAAGTTTCTCAGTTAAATTAACTTTTACAGAAGTTGATCATATAGAGTAAAAAAGGAAAGCAAATTAAATTCATTGGCGTGTGAGTAATAAGTTGAAGAAATATCTGCAAAAGGCAGTTAATTTCAATTCACATTTAAAAACGTTTTACGTAGAGTTCCGTTTTGAATTTTACATTAAATAAAGCCCATAGAAACCAAAATAATATACCTACCTTATATATTTTAGACATTGATAGTTCTGTATTTAAAAGTGTTCAAATTTCGTCTATTTTTTGCAGGTTTGTGCAAAAAATTAAAAACACAATTATCGTGTTGCCATGACTAACATGACGTGGCAACGCGAGCCTAGGTTCAGTATTGGCGTAATTACACTGGCCGCAGCCAGTGTCATAGAATGGCCTTGGAGGCCTTGGTCTTTTCGGATGTTTTTTTGGTTCTCGCAAGTGTGATTTTTCATTGCGGCATCGTGGGCTCAGGATTTCGCAATTTAGCTAAAACATGTCCAGGTGATTACGATATGGATTAGGATTGGAGTTAGGACCAGTTCTACACAATGCTAACCAGAACGAGTTTCGTACAAACCTTAGACGCTGTAATTGTGCATGGGACGTATTTTATTATATTTCACTGCGCATGCGCTTGAACTTTTTCGGTGTTTTTCGATAAGATATCACTGAACAACACCGCCGAAAAACGTCTGCGCATGCGTCAACATTACTGGAATCTGTATTGCAAACGTAATGTCATAGTCCAGCGTATATGCACAGATATTTGAGAAAATCATGCACTTTGTGAAAAAAGCACCAAATGCACAGGAAGTGTAGACTTTAACATGATAATGAATCTTAGACATGGAAGCATCACCAAAATTGATGCTGACGGCCTAAAATTTAGGATTTCTTATATTCTCTTATTAATCTCTTATAATATTAAAAATTGTGAAATCGCAGGTTCGCAAATAGCAAAAATAACATGCGTCATTAGAAAACTTACAAAAAACTGCATATAAGACGTTTAAGCAGTTACTTTGATTTTCCAACTCCTCTGGAGTCAGTATGAGCGGTTGAAAATATGTTTTAGGGCTAGTGTCCAGGACTTTGGCGGTATTTTCGCCTACTTATCACGTTTTTAAATAGCAATAACTGGAAAACCGCTCGGAAAATCAATCAGCCGTTCAAAACTCTTATAAGTAGTTTTTTGTAAGCTTTCTAATCATGCAAGTCATTTTTGCTATATGTGAACCTGCAATTTCACAATTTTAAACAGTAATAGGGTTTACTAAGAGAGTATAAACAATCCTAAATTTTAAGCCGTCAGCATCAATTTTGGTGATGCCTCCATATCTAAAATTCATTATCATGTTAAAGTCTACACTTCCGCTGAATTGGGTGCTTTCTTCACAAAGTGCATATTTTTTTTTACTTTTCCGCTGGACTATCAAGAAGTCAAGTGTTCCGAATGTTGTCAAAAACTCAAAATGGAAGCGACTTCGATGTTTTGCCTTTTCTATGAAAACGCAAGCGGAATAATGAACGTGACAACCTAAAAACTAGAAATAATTATAGTCTACATGTGCAAGAAGTAGTATTATGCAAGAAAATAAACCAAAGGTGACTGTCGATAAATTTATTGTATAAAATGTTTGCGTAGCATGTATAATTTTTGCGTTGACTATATTTAATGGTAATGATTTGCTCTACATTTTAATCGTGTGCAAATGCTTAACTATTCTATAGTTTTCTTAACTTTTCTGCTTTAAGTTTGGTATTCGACAATTTTACAAGAAATGTTCACACGCCTCCCGGTCTTAAACGGTAATTTTTAATTTAAATACCGTTTCATTTTAGATTTTAAATGTTAAAATATTTTTATTCATGTCTAAACTACCGGACTAGTGTATTTTTTCTTTGTTTCAAATACATTAAATTATTAAATAGCCATGTTTTTGTTTACAATTTGGCATTTAAATTCCTCGCCATCTTTTTTGTGCCCGACGCATGCGCAGACGTTTTTTCGCGGTGTTTCGCTGAACTCCATTGGTTCTATATGGATTTTTATTGTGCAGTACTCTGAATGTTTGTGATCATGAAGTGTCGGATGTCAAGAAGTGAGGAACATCTATATATTTCAAATTATTTTTAGAATATTGCGATGTATTTTACCAACCGCGAAAGCCAGTGTAAACGCCGGAACAGGCGTCTTGTTACGAATACTTCATGTTGAAACAATGTTGGGAAAATATAGGTGAGGTGTTGGTGCATGCATGTATTTCTAGTTAAATATTATTAACGTGGTTTTACACTTCATCTCAGCTATTCCTATTGGACGAAAACAAATGAAATGAGCTCAATCACCGTGATCGTGCACAAGTTAACATAAATTAAGGCAATAAGATAACACAATGACTTCTGTTTAGTTTCCAGACCATATTTCTTGATAGACTATGCTATTAAGTAGACAAGCAAAGGTATAGATATAAAAAATGTACGTGACTGATTCACATTACACAGAGTAACGACCAACTTGATACCGCGTTGTTACGTACTGATTTGTGTAATTGTTTTTTTTTCAGTCATGCTTAATCATCTAGATGAATCTCTACTACTTTCATTTACACTGGACATGCGCTTTCAAAAATATATCTGCCGGTGATACACATTATCATTTTAAACAAAATTACTGTAGGAAATGGCTGTAGGAAATGGCTAGGATGACCCGCGGATAAACCGCGGTGAACCCAGAAATTATCGACCAATTTCTGTCTTGCCTGCCATTAGTAAAGTTATGGAGCGCATCTTACATACTCAATTTTATGAATATTTGACTGCAAACAACTTAATTACTCTCTGAGCATCAGTTTGGTTTCAGAAAATTTCATTCAACTGCCTCAGCTGAGCTTGATTGTACAAATGATTGGTACATTAACATGGATAGAAAATTGTTCAAATTGGTTGTATTTGTAGACCTAAAAAAGCCTTCGATACTGTTGACCATGAAATCTTAATAGAAAAACTAATGCTGTTGGAAAGACAGGAAATGCATTGTTACTGCTTAAGTCGTATTTAACTGATCGTACACAAAGATATGAGGTCAATGCCTCATTTTCAAGTGAAAATAGTATAAAATGTGGTGTGCCCCAAGGGTCTATACTAGGGCCAGTGTTTTTTCCGCTATATATTAATTATTTACCTGCATGTCTAAATAAAACAAAACCCCGGCTGTTTGCTGATGACACTAATATCACAGCAGCTGGTGAGTGTTTATCCGATATTGAAAATGCAGTAAATTCGGATTTAGAAAGTCTTCGGAAATGGCTCACAGCAAACAAACTGAGCTTGAACGTAGCGAAAACCGAATGTCAAATTATTGGAACTAAACCAATGCTAAAAAAAGCATCTGCTCAACAGCTTAAAATTCATATTCAACACAAACCAATCAAGCATGTTTCTCAATGCAAAACATTAGGTGTGACTCTTGATGAAAATCTTTTTTGGAAAAGTAATACAGATACAATATGTAAGAAGGTATCATCTGAGATTTTTGCTCTCAAGCACGTTAAAGAATTTGCACATTAAAGAATCAGAAAACACTCATATCTTTGTACAATGCTATAATTCAACCCCATTTCAGCTACGGTTGTGAAGTTTGGAATATATTCGGCGAAACTTTAATCAATACGTTTACAAAAACTTCATAACAGAGCAGCTCGTATTATAGCACCTGTGCCAAATGAGGTAGATCAACAAACAGTACTGGATATATTAGGATGGGAAACGCTCAAACTACAAAGAGTAAAAGCCAAAGCAAAATTGAAAATTAAACGAGACTTACCTGGAAGTTGAAGTTTGATTGGAATTATATGAGTCATAACACTGCATCTAGAGATCACATAAGATAGCAAGCACGCATGCGCCGTCAGTTTTAAAAGCTCGAATGTGAATGTATCACTTAAGAATTATGTAACAAGAATATATTCCAATGCTCAATTAAATGGGTTATTACTGTCTATCCAGCTTCTCTAGTTGATGCCCTATAATAAAATGGGGTTGGCAATGTCGAGAAACCAACAGGGCGAGCATGTGGTCCCTAGATGCAGTGTTATGGCTCATAGAATTCCAATCAAACTTCAACTTCCAGGTAAGTCTCGCTTAATTTTCAATTCTATTTCGTCATCACTGCATCCGCGATCCCATGAGATTTCAAAGCCAACATTCACATGAGAGACACTAGCTATAGCAACAGTCTTAATATAACAAATCCCTCAATAACATATCAACAATTAATGTAGAGACAACTCCATGGCCAACATTGATAAGAATATATATTACCTATTTGACTCATTTAGAGTTCAGAACAGCTGTAGCAAATGTTTGTTCATTACTGACAATGTGTTTATGATAAAACTTATCAAAAGCTCGCGATGAGAACCACCCTGCCTTATTGAGAATGTCCTGATAGGAACGGAGGCTGTTTTAACCTTTAAAGTCGCAGCAGCTCTGGTACTGTGCGGTTTAAAAATCTGTGTATCGAATCCAGCATTTGTCATGGTTTGACGTATCCACCTAGTTATAGTGTCTCTCGAAATTCGATGATGTAGTTTCATATAGCTGATGAAAAGTTTGGTTTCATTCCCTCTAAGTGGTTTCGTTTGATTTATGTATGTTCGCATATGATAAAAAACACACAATTTTTCATGAGCAGGAAAAGCATGCAGAACAATTGAATCTGGTGTGTACCCTGATCGACTTTGCTCCACATGTTCTGGTAACAAAAACTCAAATGAGGATTCATCCTGTTTCATAAGTGTTATATCAAGCATGTGTAGGCTTTGCCCACTTTGGGCAGAAACCAGAGCAACCGTGTCCAACATCTTAAGATCCAGGTTTTTAGCAGTTCCAATAGTAAATAGGTATGTTAGTACTGGTTGTACATCCCAAGCAGTTTGATACTTTGGCCTTGGAGGTTTGGACCGGCAGATGCCGTTCATGAGTCGTGAAGTAATCGGATGGCTTCCTATGGTAGTGGTCCCTTGAGGTAGTATAATGGCTGAAATTGCACTTCTGGCTGCGTTTATTGTTGTGTATTTAAGATCTTGGTTATGAAGGTGTACCAGGAAGTCTAGCACAATGTTCAAAGGTGGATTGTAGGGATTAATCTTGCGTTCAGCACAAAATCGGAGCCACTTGGCAATGTACGGTTGGTATTGTTTCTGGGTACCAGCAGACCATGACTGGATTATGATGGAAGTAACGTCATTTCAAATTCCTCTATGTTTGAAGCTTTGTCACAGACTTTGCAAACCATTAGACGTAGGTGATGTCGCAGCGGTTGAAGATCCCCATTGTGGGGCTGTGTCAGCAGTGAGTTTGATTGAGGAAGAATGAGTGGTTTGTCCATGAGCAGGTTCAGTATCCCTGTGAACCAGGGTTGCGTTGTCCAGATGGGTACTATTAACACTGATGTTGCATTGTCTTGTGTTATTTTCTGGAGGCATGTTGCCATTATACTGAAAGGTGGGAAAGCATAAAATAAATATGGTCCCCAATCCATCTAAAAAGCATAAATAAATTAGGCGTCAGGGACTGGTCGCCAAGAGACATAGCAAGGCACTTTATAGTTAATCCGTGAAGCAAATAAGTCCATATCAAAACTTCCCCCATCTCCTTCCAATGTCTGCAAACATCGGGAGGGAAAGAGACCAGTCGTTTGAAAGGTTAAATACCCTTGATTCTGCATCTGGCTCCACATTCTGGGACCCTGGATGTGACATGCACTAAGCCATAAGTCTTGGACTAAACACCATTCCCGAACCTGTTTTGCCAAATTATCAAATTCCTTAGATTTTATGCCCCCCATTGCATTGATGTAGGCAATTACTGTAGTATTATCACATTGAACTCTAATATGTTGTTTGGAAACATGTTTGCAGAGGGATCTTAATCCCAGTAAAACAGCCCGCATCTCCAAACAATTAATGTGGTATTGCTGTTCTGTCTGGTCCCATGGACCAACCTAGGGTAGAAGCATCGGTGATAAGAATTACTGCAAGAGTGCTCTGCAAGAGTGCTCTGCAAACTTGGTTTAAAAGTAGAGTCAATATTATTCACTCACCACATGAGCTCTAAATCAGGCTGCTGGGAAAAGGTCATAGGTGAATGAAAGCTGCCTTTGTTGGCGCGTAGCGCCGAAATTTTATCCCTACTAGGTTTCTATAATGCAGAGGTCCGAACTGTACTGGTGGAAGACTGGAGACCAGCAGGCCTATTACCTGAGAAACCTCCTTTATAGTAAATTTATGTTTATTTAATAAGCTATTGCAAAAGGATTTGAACTTGGTGACTTTCCTAGGTATAAGCCTCCACTGTCATAGGCAGGCTATTCATCTCAAATCCAAGGAATTCTATAGCTTGTGCTGGATGCAAAACTGATTTCTCAGGGTGTTTGACAAACTGCAATTGTTGGAACAATTTTGCAGAATCTACAATATTGTTTTTACAAGCTTCATGGTCGTAGCCTAGTAATAAGGAATCATCAATGTGACCCATACAAGTGTCTCCTAAACCTCTCAAATGAGAGTACACAGCCTTTAAGATTTTTGTAAAAACCCTAGGGGCACTGGAAAGCCCATTAGGGAGACAAGTGAATTGGTAAAAGGTTCCTTCCCATTCGAGCATAAGGAATTTCCTATCCTCATCCCCAACTGGTTTAGAATAGTAGGCATCTTAAGGTCATTTGATGCCATGAAACATCCAGGTCGGATAAGTTTCATGGCAATTTGAAATATATCCATTTTAAAATGGTTGTAATCCACAAACTTATTAAATGGTTTGAGGTTCAGTATCATCCTGTGTGAACTATTCTTTTTAAGCCTAATGAAAGTGGTGGATACAAAACTTTCTGGAGTCACACAGGCAGGTCCAATAACACATTTTGACATCTATCATCTGAATCTATTATTTGTGTTTCCTCTGCAGAAAATCTGATTTGGTTACGCCTTTGTGTTTGTATAGCGAAATCCCCCTCAAATTGAATGTGATAATGCTTTACAGCATTTAAAATGAATGGGTCACTAGTCAGTATGGCCCAATTCTATATAAAGTGTCTCACTTGACCAGCATGAAAGTACATGCGTGATTTGTGTAATACACTAATTGATATATTAGCGAAATCGTTAGTGTTTGAATAGTTAAATATTACCTCTTGGGTTACTGGGATTTGTTGTTGTGGTTGCTCTGCCTTCTCGGCCCCATCGTTGTTTGGCTGGTCGCCCGACTGTGTCCTAAAAAAGACGCCTGTTGTTTCCAGGTTGCCAAGTCTGGCCAAAACTGGTTGTCGTTTATCGTATGGTTTGTACCGGTAGCCTCGATTTTTCATAACCTTTGCAGAAAACACAGTTTTTTGCATTTGCTGTCCAGCCCTTTTGGCTTCCGACACTTCCTTAAGGTGCTTGGAGAGGTCATCCCCAAATAGCTTGGTGGTGGGTTTAATAACCTCTTTACACAGTCGTGTGTAGGGCGGGTTCAAATCAGATTTAATGAACTCTCGCCTCTTCATGATTTAGTTCCACTTTCCTTTCCTAGTAGGGCAATGCCGTCCATAAGTTGTTTCAAGACATCACGAATGTTGGTGTTTTTGCTATTTTTAACATCCTTTAACAGCCTATCGACCAGGATAGTTAGAGTTGACAACCCTTGCATACAGGGCCCTTGAACTTTCTGAAATCCAAGATCAACTGTTCTTCTTTTCCTCGTCAACAAGTCCCATATTTCCTCATTAACCATTACGGTTGTGAGGTGTTGGCAATTATCTGGTGGTGGGTATTTTTCACCAGTCTCTTTCAGCATGTCGCTGGGGAGTTCTCCTGTTAAGACTTGTTCAATAAAGGAGGCAATTTTAGTCTCCACAAGTGGGGACTGTTTCGGATTCGATAAGTAAGCCTAAGTCAGGCTATCAATTACGTCATCGTCAACCTCTGCGTCAAGGCTAGACTTTGAGACCTCGTGCTCTGTGCTCGATTCGAGCAAGTTAGCAACGATTGAGCTGATATTTAGGTCGTTTTCTGTGCCGCTGCCGCTTCGCTCGTCCTGATCTGTTGCATCAGGTTGAAGCAGGAGGTCTTCTCTGATACTACTCAACGTTTCTATCTGAGAACGGGACGCTTGCGTGAGTTCTTTCAAAGTTGATTGAAGTCCTTGTAGTATTCCCGCCATTTTATCTTCGCTAGACAGCCTAGACTGTGCTTCAAGACCTTCGACTTTGTCATTCAGTTGATGGAATTCATCTTCGTCACTCATTTCGTCGCCTTGACGTTCTTGTGAGTTGATTAAATTAATTAATTAATGTAAGATTAGCCACAACCCTTAGGTGACTCCGGTCAAAATGAAAACAAAACACGATATAAACATGAAAAAGAGCTTCTTCCTGACAGCGTTTTTGTGTCGCACTGACGGCGCATGCGTGCTTGCTATCTCATGGGATCCCGGATGCAGTGATGACGAAATATAACTTATGTTTAAAACGCTCAATAGCATGGGACCAAATTCACATTAAATCACAATCTTTGTGACAACTCAAGTTCAATACATTTGCCAAAGCCAAATACGAACAATTTGAAGAAAAGTTTTATGTACGATGAAGCTTCTATCAGGAACTCCATACCACAATATATAAGAAAAAGTAAATCGATTTCATGTTTTAAAAGAAAAATCGCTACTCTTACCTTTTGAAACAACATGATTCATGAATCTTGTAAATAGATACTTTTTGAATATTTATGTAGATCTGCATGCTTATTCTTTATTCTTTTCATTGTACTTGTAACTGTTTGTAAACTATTTTACACGCCCATTGTGGAAACCAGCTTTAGCTGACAATGTTATCGTGGTTAAATAAAGATATCATCATCATTATTTCTAGGCAGTACTGTACTATGCGATCGTCCTGCGGTCCCTGGGTAGTACACTTGGATAGGTCCATTTTCTTTGATTCTTCCCAGTAGTAATATAGGTACCGTTCGACCCCCTTTTTGCGCTGGTGGAGGTGGTGGAGTGTGGTGGAGTGTGGTGGAGTGTGGTGGAGTGTGGTGGAGTGTGGTGGAGTGTGG